TGGGTAAGTGGTGGATGGGAGGAAGGGTGGAAGAGGGGAATGGGTGCAAGATTGAACGTTATTTTGGAGGGAGTCACTGTTAATAATGCGCTTTTTGTGTCCTGTGACGTGTGGACTCTGTAACGTTTCCCTTTTCTGTATCACATGTCACTTTCTCTGCATTTTACTCATTGCTTATCCTTCCTATATTCTTGCTGACGTGGTCAGCCATTTCTTCCTTCTTCCTTCAAACTTGCTTTATTTTATTTTCTCGCTTGTCCGTTTTCCCGGCGCTTTTCGCATTTTCCATTAACTCTCTCGCTGCTTGGTTGCTTTTCGTGCTGTCTATTTGCTTGTTGTGCGATGATCTTCCTTTTTTCGCATCACCCATTGTGGTGCCTCTGTATTTTCAGTTGTCGATTTAATGTGTGTAAGCGGAGGAATGTTTGACAGGCCGTGCCAATATGGTAAGCAGGAGAGATGGGTTGGATGGATTTGTCGCAGTGGCATACCCCTTTACAATTCATTCTGGGAGAGCGTTATGCTCCCACTCTTACGGAGCACCGCTTCGAATTGGCACGTCTTGTTGCGATTGTAGAGACTCTGCCGTCGGGTGACTCTCATTCCTTAAATTTTACCTAAAATATTCCGCTGGTGATAGGTCTATTAGGGATCCATTCCACGAAACTAGTCTGATTTTTCTTCTCACTCATAATTCTTTCGATGCTCCTCATTCCTGTGCGTAGTTGATGGTGCTGTTTGCGGTAACTATAATTACGAGGTTTTCCGATTAATATTATCATACAGTGAATGGTCATGTCGAATAATAATCGACTTCAACTTCGTGACGTGACGAGGTCAACCGCAATCACAATATTGTATTTTGTCATGCTATTTGTCAAATCTGCTAACCCGGGTGGCAAAAACGTGCAGTGAAATGTGAACTGGCGAGAAGCCATCCATCTGCCAATGCATTGTCACGAAACGTGGACTGATTTCGTCAAGTGATGGATTAGGCGGCGTGAATTCCACTGACATTCACAATCTCCTGGGTTTTGCCATCATAATGAGCACCAGCTTCGAATGGATTGAGTTAAGCACACTACCCATTCTCCGCTTTATTTTGAGCTCAAAAAATCAACTTTCTGTATCATTATCTTCCCGGTTTGATAGAAATTTATGTAAACTCTCGCAACATCTCTTCCCATTCCTCATCCTCTTTAACATAGGGATTCATTATCAGCCTCAGGAGCACTTAGCGTTTGAAGGAGTGAGTTATGAACAATAACGCAAGTGACGAATTACCGAACTAATGAGTTGGTTAATTAATTGCTGGATTTTAATACAGCGTTAACTGTGCGCACACAGGTAGTTCATGGGGACATGTTAATCTTATCGTCACTATGGGTTCGGTGGAAAAGCGATGTACCCCGTATTGTCTCCAAACAGCCTCAGTGACCCAACAAGAGAAATTCGCACATGCGTGAACTTGTGCAACAGCTTAAAGGCCGTGTGGCTGAATCACCACTCCGTTGTCAGGTAGAAATAATGCGGAAGTTGTGTTTTTGCCTTAGTCACCACTGGAATATGTTCAAAGAGAACACCGCCAAATAAGGGTCTTGATGGTACCCTTATCTTGCAGACGAGAAAATGACGACCATTGTCTAACTGATGGAGGCAGGAGAATCACATCTACATATGGCGTGCGGAGAAGAGGAGAGGTAGATGAGTTGAATAGAGCCGTAAGGGAAGCAGGTACTTTCTACTCTGATGGGGGTATATCATAGGGGTGAGTGTGTGTGCGTGCGTGTGTCAGCGTTTATGATGTTTAGCTCGTGCCACCTTGGCATGGCAAACACTTTCACTGCACTACTCAGCACGAATATCCTACAATGATGAGATGACCACTTCGTAGGAAATTATCTATCCAGTGGTGTAGATAAACATGCATTTGGACAAAATGTGCGGTGGTAAGGCTTGGCGCGAATTGCCAGCAGTGCTATAACAAGTAGAGCCTTTCCAACTAACTGAGCAGAGCGTGACATTGGTGAGAGAAAAAGGTTTGATTCATGTATTCGTATCGGCATTCGTGAATGTGTTTAAGTACCATTGAAATGGTTTCTCTCCCAATGTTGTCATGTGTACGTGTATTTGTGCTGTTGATTTGGTCCATGAAACCATATTTAAGGTGAGGATGCGTTTGGCCAGTATTGAAATTATTTTAACACCCTTGTTTGCATGCATTTAAATCTTTGTATTTTTTGAAATATTGTTTACATATACGCTGGGAAGCGTAGATAGATAATGGTATTATAGCTCCCATTTTTATGAGCGGCTGTTTTTGACTATTATCTCTTCTATATACTCGCGTGCGAATGTGCAGTTTTAATTTCGCATTAATTGGATGGTCACTATGCCATGCTTTGTGGTTTCAATCAAATTAAATATTATAATTCTGGATTTTTTCCCTTCTACGCTTTGGCTATGAGGAATTTGATAATCTAGTGATTTAGTGAATTGGGTTCATAAGTGAGACAATTCATGTGACATATGAGGAGGCTTAAAGTTGCTTGTTTGAAATTAGAAGATTGGGAGAACTTAAGGATTGGAATGACACATTATTTCACTTTGTTTATTGTAGCCCAATGAGTGCGAACCCAGTGCCTTCTGCCGCCCTCCGGTAGCTACCAGCTTCATCAGTCCACAAAATCGACCCATTTAGTCCTTTTCAGAAAACATTGCCTTTACGATGACCACTGCAGAGCTATATACAACGGTCAAAGAAAACATGCTAAGAAGGTGATGCGGATATGGGTTTTAAAGTTAGGTAAACCGGTCTCTTTTGCCAGCAAATCACTCATTTAAAATGCTTATACTTCTTAACCACTAATCCATTCCAAATACTCGGTCATTTTTATTAAAATATGAGAAGATGTTTTGATATGCTTGAGCATTAAAAGTGTTGGAAGATGTAAATGAATACTTCAGTAATGCGTCCCACATTCTTCTCTTCAAGCCAAAAAACAACCGACAGATACTCTTTTTCATGAAAGGCAGTGGACATTTTGCCTGCAATATTACTTCCGATGGAATTTTAGCTTAGAGAGAAGACAACACTTTTAGTTGTAAGGCTGGAGACAAAAAGGGCTCCACTTTTGAATTAACCCATTAACTTTTGTAATCAGACCATGTAACTTGTAAATATTTTGCTTTATTCTTGCAAATCTATACTGTCTTTCGTATCACTTATAATTGAGTTTACCTTCTTCTGAGTTAAGCTAGCATTGCATAGATTATAAACCTTTGTTAGCTAGTACTATGGTCGCCGAATTTCATGATCCAAAAGGAGAAAACATGAAACTGCAGGAGTGAAACATACCTTCTGGTAGCAATCGAAAACATTTTTTTAAAATTTTTGGATGACTACAGCCAAAGCTTGCTGGGCATTTTGCTCTTGACCGAGCACTGCATATTGGCCAGTGAGGTCCTGCAACATCCCCATAGATAAGAACCGATCATAATGCAGTCATTCAGATCGTGCGTCCATGTGTACCTGTAGGAGAATGCAATAAGGCGTTGCCACTCAATCTGGTTCGCACTCACCAAATCTTTCATTACCCCTTCACTTATCGAATCCAGCACAGATAGCACCTTCTGCTCGTTAAGACCTTTAGTCATCAAGCTTCACTCTGGGGCATCAGTCGAGTTGGCTTTCAGATGAAACCGACCTCAAAGTTCAGTCTTTCAAGCCAGACAAAGTAGGCGATTGTGTTAATTTGACTAAGCTACTAATGAATAAATGGATTTTAGCTTATCTGTATCAGAATAACATGAAGTCGTGAACTAACTCAACAGGCTGTACCATCAACAAAGTTTGAGTTTATGAGGGAGGCATGACATACTTGGGAGCTGAAATATTCGGTTGGGAGAGTCCAGCAATCAAAATGCACGATCAAAATAGTACACTATTCGTGATTAGGCCGCTTTTAGGAATCGCGAACAACGACCAAATGCTCCGTTCAAGTGAACGCTAGTCAAGAATAATTAGTGAATGATTAAAGCAGTCGAATCACCTAAAGCAAGCGTAAAATGCGATTTGGAGCAACAAAAGATCGAAGCGAATGATTCCCTCAAGGAAAATCCACATTCACTATATTACTTAACACTGCGTTGCTTCCAGAACCTAAGAAAGGTACATACCTCTGCTAGGAAGGTAACAAATTGCATGTAATGAAATGGTTGTTTTTTTGCGTTCCACTCTTCTGTTTGCATCAATTATTTGTCTGGGAGAATCTTAAAAGCATTCTAGCATCTTTAGATCCAGCGAAAGTACAATTCAGAAATAAAGAGGACTTGTGCATATCAAGAGGGGAATGTGAACGTAGCTGGTGAGAGCACTGTAAGTGGCCAATCGAAGTAATGCAATTGGACAATAAGGCGCTAATGGACCACAAAGAGTCCAAATTGAATATAGTCCCAGCGTTCCCGTTTAACATGCGTGAAATTTTAAATTCCTACGAGTAGAAAATTATTACTCTAGTGGAGTAAGGAATAAATCAGGCAAGTTTACGCTTTCATTATTCAAATTTACCTTTGAAAATGTGCAGCGTTTAGTAAACAAGCTCTTACGCACATACAACATTAATATAAGATGAAGTACTCCAGCATACAACTACGCAGTGTCATAGCAACCAAATTTTGCTGGATTCTATTCAAAGACAGGTGATACAGTGACTTGATTGCCAACTAAATTGTATTTGGGATGACATTGATTATGCTGGCAATGAGCAGTTGTGGTGATGATTAATAACTGCAATGTAATACGTTTGTTGTTTAACTCTCGGTTTTGACGGAAGGTTTGCTTTGAGCCTTGGCTATTGTACCTTTGCCTGATAGGCTGGCCTATGGGCGATGACAGTGGCCCCAACTCGAATCCACTCTTAGACGACAGCTACCCTTATTTTCACTGCTAAGTGATAAACCTCAGCGAGGCAGAAGAAGTGCATCTGCTATGGATGGGGAATCAGTGACGACTCCAAACAGAAGAGCTAAAAATGATGTCTACCTTTCGCAACTACCTCAATTCCGTGTTCTGCGGAAAAGCTACTAAAAACGGATGCGATACTAGCTATGAACTATTTGGAAGTACTTTGCTATGGAGCTGTCTATAGTACCTTCATGAAAATACCGACAGTGTGAGCTCGCTATACCTCCTCCACCTCTCTACTAGCTGGATAGAATCCAGGCAGATATATGGCTGAGCAGCCCTGAAGTTAGAACCAAGTGGCAAGGTGGAACAGACGCAAAAACCCACCCCACTGACCCATGTTCAATCCCATCCTCCCCTTCATAATTCTGCTTTTGGGCCAGTGTTCCTACCTGTTGTTGTGGACAAGCCTGATGCCAGGCATAATGTCCCGTCCCTGAATCCGGGTTTCAGACCGATCGTAGCTGCAGATCCATTTGAATTGCTAAGGGGACTCAGTGACTTTGCGGTCATGTACCTCCTCAAATGCACACAAATTTAATAATTGGTACACTTGGCTCGTGAGTGACTTTGCGCTGATTATGTCGTAATAGCTGACTCGGGAGGTTGACCTAGGGAAGTGCCGAAGACGATGCTCAAAGGAGGAGATGGGCCATGCAATGCTTTGGCTGATTGTTTATCTCTCAGTTTCAGTGGAGGACTAGCCTCTTGGTCGTGCTAGTAACCCCAAACCTCACTGTATGTTGAATGCGTATACAATGGCCTAGCATTGTGTCTCCTTTTGGTTTTCAGGGAAGTCCAGTATTGCTACTATTAATTTTGGCATTCCGAGTCTTGCAGAGGGGCTGGGAGGCTACAAGCATGGCCTGGAGGTCATGTCACCGAGCGGAAGTGCATAGGTGGAGCTTTAAGTGCTAAATAGAATGCCGAGTGAAATGAGCAGTCAAAGTATTACACGGCAGCTTTAGGAGTGTATTCCTACTGAAGTTTAATCCGTTTATCAGAAAGGAAAGTAATAGTGATGACCAAAGTTAGCAGTGATTAAAAAGAGCAAATCACCTTTTCGTATTTTGAAATGTTTGAGTTGCTTTTTCTCTGCAAAAGGCACAGAAGTCTTTCACAATTGATAATATTCATAAATGCTTAAATAAGAACCGCTATGTGGCAAATTCGAAGGCTCTCGTCTTCCAGTAATTGATATGCATTTACACTTATCAGGATCGGCAAGACTATATGGAATAATTGCCCCATGATTTGTTTGATGTTCTGGTGAGGAAGTCATTAATGTGTAGTATAAAATATTTTAGAAAAAAAATCACGTCCTTAGATTAGCAGAGACTAGGTAAATTGAGTGAAAGCATTGCCGACAAGATAACCTGCAAAACAACCGAATTACTTTGTGCAGAGCGCCACACTTGAAGCCAGTACTGAGACTATTCATTTTGCTATGCCATGATGGAGCAGTTGTGTGATCGGTCCACTAGACATGCAGAGACTACGCCCTAATTAGTATAGTCTGCAGTAGTTTTTACACAAAGTCTTCCTGGAAATGCTTAAGGAGCTCCTGAACTTACTGTCTCATCATTTCACCACCTACTTAGCACTACGTAAGCTACCTCCCTTCAATGCTGATGCGTTTTAACTTCTTCTTACCCCTAAAACCAAGGCAATGAGGGTGATTTTTCCCCTCTCTTTTGATTAAACTTTCGTAAGATGTTAATCCAGTCAAATAAGTCTGAGATGCTCGAAACGCGGGATTCATGAAGTGATAACTTGCGGTGCTTCCATCGTAGTCTGATAAATCTTGTTTAAGTCTTGTGATGCAAGGCAATCCTGATTAAGATTTCAACTAGGTGTATATTGTTAGACATTTAATAAAAGTGACAACTTGTTTGAGTGCGTCGCTTCCTCTCAAACCGATGAAAGTGTACCATTTTGAAATTTTGTCATACTTTATTAAAATCGGATACAGTGTGTGAAAGAACGTGTGGCATTTATTATAATATTTGAGAGAAAAATGATTTAACTAATCAAAAATCTTGTAAAGTTGGCACTTTTAAAAATGATAATGCAGTATTGAATAATGCCGGCATTCCAGCTTCCTTCATAATTACGGTTCCTATGACATAATACTGTTTTCAGTATTAGGGAGACCCGTCTTCAAGGTGTTGGAAAAATATTAGTATATAGAAATGCTGTTTAACCAAGACAGTGCAAACTGGATAATTCAGTCACGTCATAAGCACCAGAGTTTACATCATGCAAGCAATCATGTTTAGAGTAAAGTAAAAACAATTTTTTGTATGTACAATGCAGAAAAACGGCTTCTCAGTTTGGATGATAAAACTAGGTAAGAACTTCTCTCGCCACTACTTAATAAACTCACCTATACTTATGTGAGTTAGTTCAGCAGCCATGCCTCTAATCATGGGCTACCTTTGCCTTTGGGAATCAAAACCGCGATAAAGTGGAAGCTCATTTGCGTTTTCACTCGTACATAATATTCCTCATTCCGACAGTATAAGAAAACCCTTGAATTTGGTTACGTGAGCAGCATTTAATGCTCTACTTGAATGTCTTAGTAACAATTCATCCACTTCCTCATCACTTGATGAATGCCGACACTGTCGGGGTCCAAACTAAGGTGGGGTCGATGCACCTGGTCTACTGGTGTGAAGGGTATCTGGAACCAAATATCACATTACTGGGGCGCTGTAATCCAGATTGAGTTCGATAGAGGAGATATTTGCTTTACCATTTCGCTCTCAAGGGATCGGTTAAACACTTAAAGCATGATGGCTTCGGCTGGAAGTTAATAGCGTGCTGGAAGTTGGTCCCCATAAAGTACACACTAAGGAAGATACCATCTATCATTTTAGCGGAGCCACCGACGGACTAAGACGCTTTAAGCAGCAGATTCTACATTTCCTACCAAATGAAGTGGTCCTACAAGCTTTACCAATTAAAAGAAATTACAAAACTATCAGGTATCAAATTGTGTCAATTTTGTCTTTCTCATTCTGCCAACTGATGATGAGGCGAGGTCACTTAACACTGCTTCTTAGTGTTTTGGGATAGAGTTCGTACTCTGTTAGCACTTGAGCATTGAAAGAATGTAGAACACGGTCTTGTCAAAGCGATGTAGTCCTAGTGCCACATTGAAATGTATTACTGCATGTGACATTATTAAAAGAGTGAACAATGGCAGAACTACAACAAGTGTAACAAACAAATGTA